AGAAGGGAAGGAAAAGGAAAGAAAAAACGGAAGGAAAGTGGAGGAAGGAAAAGAGAAAAAGTGAAGCTTGTCAAGCAATTTTGAATCTTTCCAAGAGGCATCACACTAATATGAAAATTTTTGAGCTACCAAACTAAGAGACTACTAATAGCACTGACATAGATTTCAAGTAAATAAACGACAACAGTGACTGGGTAAAATATTAAAAGGTAAATAGCATCAATTTGACAGCTTTCAGTAAAAGTAAACAGATATCCAATGAAACTATTCCTTATTGCCATTAAAATATTAAAATATTTTAGATAGTAGATCACAATGTGTATTTTGTAATTTTATTACAAATGCATTCAGTAAACAATGGCTTTAAACTATGACAAAACAATTTCAAATCATCTACTTATTTATACTAACAAACTGTTCAATATTAACATTTACAGTAACAAGGAGAGAGTGAACTGGAATAAAATTCATGCTGAACTATATCTCCTATTGCCATTAATAACTTTAAGAAAAAAACCTATGCTCCTCATTAAGAGATTATTTTCTAATTAGTTTACTTTTAATGTATAGAAATGTTATTATCCCATATTGTTTTTATCTATTATGTATCACATACTAGAAAATTCATTTTTAAGCAATATTATATACTCACAATTTTTTATTTTAAAGAAAGAAAAAACAATACAAATGATACAGCATTTCAAAACAAGATGATATGAAATTAACAATGGTTAGTATGCTGCACACTCTTATGTTCCAAGTAGCTACTCAGATTACCAGATATAGGCATGCACAATTAATCAAACAATATAAACACTAACTATTCCTTCCAATAAAGTAATAGAAATTAGTAGTACAATTATCTTAGCTATCTTGTGTATATATGCATATCTTTTTTCTCCCCTTCCTTCTTTTCTCTTTTTCCCAACCCAGTTGTTCTTGCCTTTTGTGTAGTTCCTTTCTCTTTCACTACATCTATTGTACGTTTTGGATGTTATTTACTCTTTCAGTTTCTTACTCTAGGGAGACAATAGGATGTTTGCACATGCGAGTTTGGTTTATTTCACTTATGAGTATGGTCTCTATTTGCATACATTTACCTATAAAAGCCTTAAGTTTATTTTTCTTTATAGATGAGAATAATTCAAAACATACAGTTACATTATATGTTCAAAACTCTTCTATGAAGGTAAAATAAAAACTTGAGTCCAAGGAAACAAACATAATGATGTAAAATATCTGACAGGTGTGGTAATGTCCACCTGTAATCTCAGTACTTGGAAACTGAGGCAGGAAGATCTCTACAAGTTGTCTTTAAAAAGAAAGCAACAACAAGAAATATATATATATATATATTAACCTGATCCTTAAATTCATGATGTCAGGTATCCAAATACAATCCACTTATATTCCATTGTGTATTTAAAGATGTGTTATAACTATTTATTTTATATAAATACCACAAACTAACCGATTGCACCACTGGAACTTCTAACTATTTTAAACTGAGGCATTCTTGTACCTCAAAACGAATGTTAACAATTATAGAAATTAATGATAAAATTTTAAATTCCAACCTGAAGATATATGTGTTTTGTTCTTTATTTTAAAGAGTATATAAACAAAAATTTGATGACCACCATTGTAGCAAAATAAGGACTTAAAAAACTTACTTGGTACAGATGTCCCAGGTAGGAAAAACCAGCTGGGCAAGGCAGCATGAGGTAAGGAAAACATTTTCCCTGTAACTGCAGGTCACGAAATACACGAGACTGAAAACCTAACCCTCGTTACTGATCAACCAGCATGGTCCTATCCATCCACTCTATACAGTGGTATTTTGAAGACAAAATGGTGCTCTTTCCCATTTGACCAAGATTTTCAGGAAACCTGAGGCAGAAGCCCATAGGAGCAACAAGACCTAGGTTTATGGGACTGAAGCAGGGGAGGGCCAGGAGGAAAAAGAACTGCATGCACCATACAGCATAGTGAGGATAGTGGGGCTGAATGGACAGGAGGACAGGGGAAAAGGAGCTATCCAGGCAGAGTGTTAGGAAGCACAGGCATTTACCTAAAAATAGTGCCTGGGATTCTACTAAGGCAGAGTTAGATGCTTTTGCTGAGATCCATACAGTCCATAGCTGGGGCATGGTGAAATTGTCCATACTTTACTTTACATCCCTGTTGAGGTCCTTCCCTTGGCGGTACATCCTCACAGTCTTGGGATATAAACATTGGGGATAGAGACCATTGGATGGTGGGTTGTGAGGAAAACCTGGTTCCTTACCTACCTAGAGGCCATTTCAAAGCCAGATTTATCAGCTAACTTATGGTTTAAACAAGGAAAATTTTGAGAGTGAAAAAAAGTGTTATTAATAATGATGCTGAATCCAGGTGTTGTGGTGCATGCCTATAATCTCAGCACTCAGGGGGCTGAGGCAGGAGGATCATTGTGAGTTTGAGGCCACTGTGGGCTACAAAGTAAGCTCAAGACCAGCTTGCACTACATAGTGAGACCCTGTCTCAAAAAGACCAAAAAAAAAAAACAATGATGCTGAAGAAAACAAGTCAATAAACTATCAATATCTAGAGCAAACCAAAAAACATACTCATTTTACTCAAAGGCATATAACCAGGATGATTTTTAATGGAGAGTATTCTTAATCTTTACCATCCCATTAAAATGAATGTTTGCTTTATTTCAATTGAAATAGCATTAACCCAGAAGCTTTTAATGTCAACTTGCTACTTGTTAGATCTTTTCCTAGGAGCCTTGAGGGAGTAAAAAAAAGGTGAATGTTTTTACCCTGAAGTTCTTACGACCAATTAGAGGTGAAAGGTGCACCACATGCACATACAGAGACATACACAGGTCAATAAAATGTGACAAGGAAAGAACTTAGGAATAATATGTGTGGTTCAGATTCAAGACTCCTCAAAATGGCTAGTGTACAGCTTTGTCCATTGCAGAAACATGATGGGAGTTTGTGGGTTGAAGAGCTGGCCCTTCCCCTGAAGTCATTCAGGTCCGTTCCTTCTTGCAAGAGAACAAGGTGACAATCCCCTGTCTGATTGGCCTCGTCTTAATGCTGTAGATGATGGGGTTGAGCACGGGTGGCACAAAGAGGTAGATGCTAGACATGACTGTGTGGACCAAAGGAGAAGCGTGCTTGGCAGCCCGGTGCATCACAGAGACCCCAATCATGGGCACATAGTACACAAGCACTGCGCAGATATGTGACACGCACGTGTTGAGGGCCTTCCTCTGTCCCTCCCCTGAAGCAATACCCAGCACCGTGGAAAGAATCAGCACATAGGACACCACGATGAGCAGTGAGTCCAGACCGAAAGTGGCAAGGACAATGGCCAAACCCAGGATGCTATTGAGCTTCGTATCAGCACAAGGCAGCTGGATCAGGTCTGAATGCAGGCAATAGGAGTGGGATAGAACGTTAATGTGACAATAGGGAAGTTGTCTCAGAAGGACAGGAAGTGGGGCCATGAATGCCACACTCTTCAGTGTGATGCCCAGACCCATGGAGATGATGCGGGGCGGGGTCAGGATGGCTGTGTAACGCAGCGGGTTGTAGATGGCCACAAAGCGGTCGTAACTCATGGCCAGCAGCACCCCTGACTCCATGCAGGAGAAGGTGTGAATGAAAAACATCTGAGCCAGGCAGCCATCAAAGTCCACCCTGCGTGCATCAAACCAAAGAATGCCCATCACAGTAGGCAGTGTTGACACAGAGACACCCACTTCAGTGACAGCCAACATGGAGAGAAACAGGTACATGGGCTCGTGTAGGGCAGAGTCTCCTTGCACTACTGCCAGGATTAAACTGTTGCCCACAATGGCCACAATGTACATGATGAAGAAGGGGATGGAGAGCCAGCCATGTTGAGCTTCTAGTCCTGGGATGCCAGTCAGGAAGACAGATAGGAAGTCAAGACTTTTGTTACCCTCAATGCCCATGATGCCAACAGTGGAAATTGGTCTTCAGCTGACACTTGGAAAAGCTGAAGTGAGCTCCCACCTGCTGAGTCTTCTGCTTAGCACTCAGCCTAAAGTTTGAAGAAAGGAAATGGAGTAAATGAGTGAGTCGGAAGAACACGCATTCTCTTTTTCTCTGCTTCTGCTCCCTTGAGCTCCAGAATCCTGATATATTACATGTAAAATGGCTATTTCTGATTGCCCAGTCTTGTGAGAGAGCATAGGTTAAACCTTAAGAACAAAAACTGGAATACATCAAATCTGGGTCAAAATATTTACTCAGCCAGTTGCTAGATGTAAGATGTAGGCAGCTTATTTAAATGCTGGTCTCACTTTTCTTTTGTTGTTTTTCACTTGTAAAAATTAGGATAAGGATGTTATTCCCCTTATTCGAATATGAAGGAAAATTGAGAAAATTAATATATGCTTAGTGCTCATTCATCTAATTTCACTCTGGTGATGAAAGTAAATCTCAGTTTGATCTTGGCTGAAGTCATTAGAAAGAACTGATTTTTAGCTATGTCAGTGAGGCTCTAAGAAAACAAGAGTATGTGGAAAAAGGTAATCTCCATGAGTTCCCCCACTGCAGGAAAAAATGTTTTGAATGTAAGACTGCGGTCTTAGAAACAAAAAGAGAAATATGAATGATGAAGGAAATTAGTACTTCAGATGATGAAAGAAATTAATTCTTCATGTTAAAATTATACAAACATACAAGCAATCTCTGAATTTAGAAATAAAGTTCTGAAAGGGTGTCAATGATACATTACTTCCAAAATGAGCAGATTTCACCTAGAATCCATGGAGAGATCAAAGCTGAAGAGATAAAGGACTTCATTAGTGGCCATGAAATCAGGGAGAAATCATTGTACCCCTCTTGGGAGTTGAAAATAGTATACAATTTAAAGTTATGTCGTGCAACATACTGTAACATAATAAATATAATAGAACATAATGAACTAAATTAGTATAACTTTAAAAAGCAAAATAGAAGTGTAGTCACAATTGGTTTGAAAGCTGAGATAACAGCAATCATCATTTCATTCATTTACTCAGCAGACTGGGTGTAGGAATATACTCTGTATCAGTCCTTTATCCTGTGACGATGCACTGCTGGTGTGAAGTGGTCCATACAGCTACAGTATTTAATGATAATTCTCTGCTGGAACAGGTGGATAGTTAGGGGAATACATAGCCAAGGAAATATGAAGAGCTAGGGCAGTGAAGAAAGTACAGTGTAATAATGAGGATGATCACAGAGCCTACATTCTTTCCCTTTTCGCTATGTGCAGGGCCCTGTGAAACCCTGTACATTCTATCTCTGTGTTTTGCTCAGAATCAACCATTTCTCTCACTAGTGAAATATGCTCTTCATTCCTCTTGCCCACAAATTTCTCACGGGTTTACCTCATACACCAGTGGTTCTCTACCCTGGGTGAACGCTAGAACTGCACTGAGATGAAAAATCCCAGAGTTTAGGTTACCCTCCATGCTAATAAAATTAGAATCTGTTCATCTTGTCCCTAATTGTTAATATGTTTTCAACCTCTTGAGGTGAATTCTATTTTGAGATCCATTCCTGATTCATTTTATAACATTTTGGTCACTTCTTAGTGAATTTCTTTTAGGCTAAAATGCAACTTGTAGGCATTTGCCTAGTCTCTACCCAGCTTTTATGGCAGAAAACTTTGCCACGTCACTCAAAACTACAGCTTCGTATTTCCTCGTGTTTCTTTATTCTCTTCTCCTGATGCTTCATGGGCCACTAATCTAGCAAATCTTGCTCATTATTCCCATCTTAGCTTTCCTGCCACTGAAATGGAGTACTCAAGACCCACAACCTAAAGGAGGAAAGGTGGAACTTAGCTCATGATTTCAGGAGATGAAAGACATGATCAGCAGGCTCCAAGGCAGGAACATCATGGTGGAAATGCAATGGAGCAAAGCTCCTTAGTTTGTGCTGACAAGAAAACAGAGAAAGGAAAGAAAGCCAGAGAGGAACAGGAGAGAGAACATGTACAGCACCTGAGGTCAAGCCTCTGTAACTCTCCAAGACAGACCCAGGAGCGTGCTCTGCTAATCTGCCAGGTGTTTCTTAATTAATGAAGTTGACATAGCATGATTAATGGTCACAACAGTGCAAGATGTTACCCACAGTTAGCCTGGATATGGGTCTAGTGCTGCACCTCTCCTTGTGTCCAACTAGAATAGAGTCCTGTCTGCACTGAGAGAATCTCCTCCATCTCCCATGCTTAGCTTGAGCACCCTTAATGCCTTTACTCTTGTCATACCCCAAACCACTACCCTGGTTCAGATCTCACTGACTCGTAAAAGGCATTCTCACTTTGGATTTATATCTGTTTTCTCCACATTATAGATACTGTTGCAGACACACAGGAACAATAATCTTAATACAGGCCAGGCATGGCGGTGGCACATGCTTATAATTTCAGCACTTGGGAAGTTGAGGAAGGAGAATCCCCAGGAACTGGAGGCCAAACCGGGCTACATAATGAGTTTGAAAGCAGCATAAGCTACATAATGACCCTTTGTCTCAGTAATACTGATAATGATAATAATGAAATAATAACAATAATGTAATCCTAATCAGGTATCATTTGAGTATGGTTCTTCATAGAATCTGTACTTTTCTTGCAGAATATCATTTTAATTCATAAATACATGTTATTTACGCATTTTATTTATTGTTTAAATATCTATTTATACTACTTTGTAAATTTCATAGAAGAAAAGATAATACAAGTTCAAAAATATAGCAGATACTTACTAAATTATCTAACTGAATAAATAAACCACCAGAAGTTAAATCTGGAGGCTTATTCATGGTATGCTGTAATTTCCCTTTACCCACATCATCTATCCAAAATACTTTTAGCTACTTCTTAAAGTTCCTGACTGATTTTGCACAGCACACAAATCTTCTTGTCAAAGTGACCAATGAATAGTAAATCTAACATGAATTAAAGTGTAATATGCAGTTCACAGCAAACCGGAAAATATTCTCATATTATTTAAGTGGACATAATAACTGTATCATCTGTAACTATAATATTTCATGCATACTTTTTTATTAAAATTATAGTTATGCCTCTCTCTCTTCTCTCTTAGACACTGAGCTCTCTTAAGATCTCTGGTTTATGTTACTTTCACATAACTTCCCATGACTGTGACACCAAAAAATGTGTTCAAGAAGACAATGATAAATCAAAACACAAATATACTTGTTAGACCACAACTGAAGTACAAATTCCATACTCAAAATAGAATTGCAACACATTCAAGTGTAATTGCGAAGGGCTTTGAAGGATCAAATGATACTTCACTTTGAGAAGAAGATAACAAAGTAGAGACGGATGAACTGGGTGTGAGGGATGGTGCGTGATAGGAGAGATCACAGGTACACAGTCTGGGGTTATGTAATGAGCACTTTACACAGAGTCAAAGCTCTGTTTAAGATCAAACAACTTCTGGATAGGAGAGATACTGTAAGGCAGGATAATCCTTAACAAAAATGCTGGAAGGAGGATCCTAGCATCTGCTGAATTGTGTTTAACTGCCTTTTCATGTCTCCTGCCCTCAGAACTGATGTTTCAGGCTGTCTCTTCCATTCTGTGACAACATCATGGCTGTGAATCTCTGAGAGACAGAACAGAGGAAAGTCTCCAACTCTCGTCATGTTGGTTTTTTTTTTCTTGTCATGTGATTATATCTTCCACTACTGAGGTAGTTTTGTTGGTCCTCTTTACCATACCTAGGAGAGCATATGGGCATTTGACTGACTACTGCTTTGTCTGTAGATGTCTTACATAAAAATAAGATTTGGAGATTTTTGTCCTAAATGTCTCTATTATAGGATAATTGTGGTAATTACTTTAATATACACAGGCATGAACATAAATTTACTTAAAAATACAGGGACATGAACCAGAAAGACTGAGAATGCCATACAGAAGTACACAGAGAACTGTTGATAGAAACACACTTATTATATGAATACCTAGAACGTGCAGACTGATTCAAACTCACCTGTGAGAGCATTTGGAAGTGACTGTTGGACTGACAGAGGACCAGTGCTCACAAAGGCTGGAGAGAGGCTTCAGGGAACAACTATCTAGGAGAGGAGGCTGACTTTATGCCTGTGAGTAAAATTCCCTGAGACCAAGGCCTCTGGGGTCCTGCTTTGCACGAGTGTGATTCTGTGCTGATGGAAAAAGGAGGGAATTGGGACTCACCTTGGGAATCAAAAGGCAAAAAAGAAAATTTAAAAGAAAGTCCTCTTCCAGAGACACCATACTTTCACCACAGAAAAAAATAGCATTTCAATACTCTTTATGATGAATAAGAGGAAGGAGAAAAATTCCCCCAAGGTCCATAGAAAACCACCTCTCCCATACATATTCAGCATAAAACCCAGATCCTAAGCAGAATCTAAAGCTCAGAACCCAGAGGTGACCCCAGAATTATTCCATAGAGGAGCCCACTTTGGCTACCTTGATCCATTCATTTCTGCTCCTCCCTGAACAATTCCCAGTACTTCCCCTTCAGCCGTCCACCAAGTTCCACACGTTACTCTTCCTCTTATGATATTATCACTAACAGGAGGTTATCAGTCCTATACGCCAAATCTAGCTTGTTCCCGTGTTACCATGCTGTTTCTGTGTCACTGAGGAATCAATAAGTGATAAAATAATCTTCGGTGCATTAACAAAACAATAACAATCTCTACATTTTCAATACTTATTATGTACATTTGGTAGGGGTACTATAAATTAGGAACTAAAATAAATTCTGTTATTAACTCCATTTTTCAGGTGGGGAAACCAAGTCATGGAGACTAAGGAATCTAGCCTTTCAGGAGAAAAATTCCAGTGGGTATTTTATTTTCAATGAAGGAACATGAGCTTCAGTAATGAAGATCTAGATTTAAATCCTGGGTTTGCTATCTACTATCTCCATGATTT